TTTACCTCTCTTCCCAATCATCTGCCATTGCGTCCTGGCCTACGTACTCTGTAAAGTTCAATTCATCATTCATGCTCATATATTATATATCATCGTCTATTATCTGTAATTTTCGTCAATTTTCGTATCCTTAGTTCCTTTCTGTTCTTGTTTTCTTTACTTGCTTTTCCGTTTTTTATCGTAGTATATTGTAGAGTTTGCTTCTCTGTTCTATGACATGCTAGTCATCTCTGCTAGAGTCCTTTCTGTATTCCGACTGTCGTTGTCGAGTATTATACTGTACTTTAGAATAACATATACTATTTTATATCTCAGTGCCGCGTCATTACTCTTGCTATGCCACTATACCAACTTGATGTCCACGAAGAACTAGTCGTCCGGGTCGACCTCGGCGACCAGCTCGTCGCCTTCGTCGAGCTCAAAGCCCTCGTCCTCTTCGATCTGGTCGGCGAGCTTGAGGAAGCGCGACGTGTTGGAGGGCACGCTGTCGTTGCCTTCGGACGAGAAGAAGCGGGCGGCGGCCACAGGGCGGAGCGCGGCCGGGCGACGGGCCACCGCGCGGACGACCGCAAGACGAGCGACGGCGCCGAGCATGACAATTGCAGGATTGGCGAACGACTGGTTGAGCTCCAGATCGCACTTGATCGGATCCTCGCACTTATCCGGATATCACTCGCCTAAGTACGAATAGCCCTTCGAGATCGCAACAGGAGTGGGCAGACAGATCGCCTAGTTGGAGGATGCTCGTCAACGGGGGTTGGCGACGGAGGTGTAGAGAGATCCTTGCTCTACGCACGTAGTATGGTGATCGTGGATTTGAATTGAAAAGAGGGGCCCATTGAGGCGCATGCAGGCTCTTGAATTGGTGGTCGAGAAAAGGCGCGAGCGTCTGTGCGTAGGCAAGCTGTGATGATGTGAGATTGCTTGCAAGCGCTGTTCCATGCTATCGGAGCAGAGGCAGGATGATGACGGCGGAAGGGGAGAGTGATCCGAGGTATGACGTGGCGCGCCGATATTCGAGTAGAAAGTGCAATGTGGTCCCAACATGATCGACCACTTCAGTCTGTGGGTATGTGGCATTGGGTCTGGACGAGGTACTAAAGACGTCACTGCTTACGATGACGGGTCCCAAGGTCTTGGGACCGACACAGTGTGATCCTGTGTGGGAGATTGACGATGTCATGGCCATGGACTCGCTGTTCGTTCAGCGTGTCTCGATCATTTCGTCGCGGCAACGCCACGAAACGCAAGGAAATGCACTGATGTAGCACTTGAGAGCAAACCATACGTCGCCGTCATCTCAAGCACGGCATGGATTCGAGGTGGTGGCGATCTTGTGGCGGCAACTAGCCTCTCACAATACATACCTCTAGAATATGATTCTTTAATATAGAATAAATATAAAAAGCCTAACTTGTAGTCTTAATTTTTGTGTGTGACTGAATACAATTAGGGCAGTGTAAACCTCTATCAATGCATCCAATGTGATCCAGCAGCCGCTCAGATCTACCACGCTTGGACTTGCAGTCCTCTGTTGCAACTGGTCCATTGTTTACATACACTGGGAGTATACCCCATGGGATGACAAGCTTTGCGGACCATGACGCGATTCCTGTGCCTGCGACTAGGAAATGCTGCGTGCACAATGAGAGCCTGGCGAAAGACCAGTACGCAGTCAGGATCAACCCATTGGGATCAACCTCGTACAGATCCCTCTATGAAGGTCACATCCTTAAGCTACGAGCAGGTATCAACAGCAAAGGCACTTGTAGGCACCAATACCTGAGCCCATTCGCACCGCGCGTATGGTCCGGATACCAACTTCAACTCCCAAGGGTATCCGGAGGCTACGGGATTGCTCTTTGTGCGATGGCCAAGCCAGTGCGAGAGGCCGCGTGCGTCGTTGCGTTCAACCACCTCGACCAAGTGCTCTTTGTGAAGCGGCCCAAGACGGCGAAAGCATGGGCCAACATGATGGTCTTCCCAGGCGGCAAGGTACTGCCAACCTCACCGTAGCAGCCCGTCCATCGACCGCCTTAGGTCGACGCGTCCGACGCAGTGCCGACGCCGACGTCAGCCTACGCCCACATTCCACCGCGGTTCGCTCGCCTTTTTACATGCTGCACATATTGACGGAGCTATGACCAGATTCTTTCTCTCGGCGGTGCGCGAGCTCTTTGAAGAGGTCGATCTCTCGCTCACGTCGCCACGTTTGAGCCGCCACGTCGACCAAATGACCCGCCGCCAGTGGCGCCACGACATTGTCGACAAGAAGGCGACCTTCGATCAGCTGCTGGCGGCCACCAAGGCGTCGCCCACGTACGATGCGCTGCTGCCGTACAAGCAGCTCATTACGCCCGTGACATCGCCGCATCGCTTCAACACGTGGTTCTTCCTCGCCCAAGTTGGCGCCGCCGACGTTGCCGAGGTGCGTTGATCGCTTTGCATCGTGTATTGTGCTACATACCATCGACGTAGGCGGAGATTCTGCCCTTGGGCACGGAGCTCGATGAGCTCTTGTGGCTCACGCCCGACGACGCGTGGTCGGGGTACCTGGACGGCGACTTTAACTTTGCAACGCCGCAGCTCTATCTGCTGCACGACCTCCGGCGCTTTGGAAGCGTCTCGGCGCTCATGGAGCACACAAAGCGAACGGCACATCAGCCGTCCGAGCCGCTCTTGGCCCAGCGTCTGCCCATCGAGGTACACAAGTTGTCGTCTGTTGGCCTGTAGACTGCAGTAATCTTCATCACGTCATGGGACTAGGACGATGGCGTCATTACGTCCGTCTTCAACGGCGACCCACTGCACACCGAGTGCACCGACCCAAACGGCCCGCTGCATCGCGTGGTTCTGCACCCCGACCGGTCGCAAACGCTCGTGTCGCTGCTTCCGGATGAGAGAGCATAGATAGTTGTGCTTTCATGGTCAATAATGTCCATGGACAGTTGAAGCATAGTATCCATAAACGGTTGGTGTACGATCCAAGGAGATCGATCTCCGATGGACGTTTCAACGCGCAAGTCCGTGTTTTGGACTTGGTTTCCGCGTCTCTTTGGAACACATTTTGGAGTGCGTGAGGACCCAGAAAACGCGTCAAGTTCTTGCACCACGTGCGATCCTTCATGACAGCACCAGAAGCCACGGTGCGCTCCCAGATCCTTGCGATATGCGGTCAGTAGAGGGAGTAGGACCAACTCTTCGAGGCGGCCCGGTATGGGGACGTAGACCAAGTGCGGATGCTCGCGCGTGACCGTCAATTCCGCACCATGGTAAACTGCACGGACGAGGTAGCAGTCGCTCGTAGACGTGCTGCTTCCGCAGTGCAAGGTTGTTTTGTTTGTAGAAAGGCAGGAACGCCTTCATGCTCGCGTCCATGCTGGGACAGAATGACGTGGTCGCATTCTTCCTCGACTGGCTCGTTATCGGAAACGGCACGTACAATATGAACCTTGCCGACAACGTGCGCTGCATGACGATGTACAGGCAAAGGCCCTTTCGACGCTGCGCTCGTAGGAGGGCAAAACCGCGCTGATGCTGGCGTTGGCCCATGGACACGCCGGTATTGCCACTCTTCTTCTTGGAAGAGGAGCAGAGCACAGTCGCATCGATAAGGTACATACGTCGCACGACAGCGTAGGCGTTGAAAGAGATTTTCTTGTAGAGTGGCCAGACGGCGTTGATACTTGCCTCGTTCATCGGATGCACCGACGTGGTGCATACACTTCTCGCGCAATCAGCCAATGCAAATCTCATTGATAACGTACGCATGGCACTCTGTCTTGATTGAAAAGGGCGCCTCTGTAGGAGGGCAAGACGGCGCTGACGCTAGCGTCCGTCAATGGCCATGACCGCGTAGTCAAACTCCTGCTTGACGCCAAGGCGTCCGTGCATGCAATCGACAACGTAATCAATCTCGTTGAAGCCGAGGGTACGAGTCGTTCTGTAGGACGAACAAACGGCGTTGATGTTGGCGTCGACCCATGGCCGCGATGCTGTTGTCAGACTTCTTCTGCACGCCGGCGCTGCCGTCAACTTTACGAACCCGGTTCCATGTCGGAGAAGTCAGCGCTTTTTGCTCAGTCGCTCGTAGGACGACCAAACTGAGCTCCACATGGCCGCTTTGCATGGCCACGAAACGGTGGTGCGGCGTCTTCTCAACGTGGACGCGAAACACAACATTCTCGATTGCGTACAGAATCGCTCTCAGTGTTGAGGAGATTGAAACTCATTTTTCTAGAACGGCAGAACACCACTTATGATGGCGGCCATGCACGGCCACGAGATTGCGGTCAAATGGCTTCTCGATGCCGACATACAAGTGAACCGAAGCGACAAAGTACAAACCCCCAGTTTGCCATTCCTGTTAGAGCGCTATTGTTGTAGACCGGCTCGACGGCGCTGATGCTAGCCAGCGCCAACGGTCATGATCGCGTCGTTCAACGCTTGCTTGCCGCCGGCGCCAACGTTCATTTCTGCGACAACGTACGCAGCATATTCTCAGCTCATGTAGATCGTAACAACGTTGGGCACCTTGCTGTAGAATGGCTACACCGCATTGTTCCTCGCATCTCGTCTAGGACACAGTCCCATCGTGCAGCGACTCCGGAACGCGGGAGCTGTCTTGAGCCCAAACCCTATGGCACCCGAGGTGCCTGTTTGAAACACAGCTGTCAAGTGACATAACCTCCTATTATATATATGCTAGTATATATCAACGTGTTCCGCGTTATCTTCCTTACAAAGAGTTCGCTTAAACCCTCTTATTAACAACACAATTGTCGTGTCACGTGCGATCGATGTTTGCGCCAACATACGCGAACCAACGAGGTGGGCTCTTTCTAGTGTCGTATTTCCCAATTGATTTTTTCAGGAGCGTCCATCTGCACATGCTACTTCGCCGTAGACGGGTCGAGAGTTGCGCTGGTTTTTTCCGCCACCGCGGAGGAAGAGCCTGCGATCGAAGAGCTCCAAGCTCGCCTCACATTGTGCACCACATCCGAGTAAGACGATCTAAAGCGGTAGAAGCAGGATTGAATGGGGCTGTGAACGCATTCGTAGCACGCACGACAGTCAAGAGGTGCCCAAGAAGAGAAAGGTTCTGCGCGCCAAGACGAGAGGGTAATCCAATGGACGATTCAAATCCCAACAAACTGTCGCGGCGACAGCGTACATGGAGGCATTGTATACATGAACAGATCAGTGCAGGCGCTTTCTATAAACGATTGTTTGTGTTTTCGTATGGTAGATCGCAGGGTCCGCTTGGCGCCAAGACGTTGACTCTAGATCTCTTGGCACGATATACTGCCACATATATACTAGTAGACCTTACAAAGAGTAGGTGGAGTGCATATGATAAGAATTACAATTTCACAAGCAATGAGAAGTAGCAAATTTAGGAATGACAACACACGAATCGCATCGCAGGGTAGTCGTATTCTCGACATGTCGCTTGTACCTTTATAATTTATGGCAGTGTTGCCGTTTCAAGCTCAGCCGCTTTTAAGAGTGGAGGGTGGTGAGCTGCTGTGCACCCTTGGTTTGGCGCTCACTTCTGCTCCTCGACCCGCCGAGAGCTGACTTGTGCATCGATCTCTCATGGCGGCGCCTGCGACTACGGTTGGCTAAGAAATCGCTGCAACGGGACGAGCTCAGTGGCGAGCTTTGTAGCACCCGCTCATCAAGGCAGCCCAAGATGGCAACCTTGCCGAAGTCCGTCGACTCTTGGGAACCAATTGCGACCTTAACGTCAAGAACAAGGTTGCTTGCAGCGAATATATCAGGAATGCTCCCCGAATCCATGTGTAGGAAGGAAGGACGGCATTGATGCTGGCGGCCGCCAACGGTCACGTCCACGTGGTCCAACATCTTGAATCCAACTCGGGCCCTCTGGACCTCGTCGACAATGTAAGGTGCTTTGCTGCATCGGATGCTCTGCTGACAATCAGATTGTAGAAAGGGCAAACAGCGTTGATGCTGGCGTCTGTGAATGGGCACGTGGACGTGGTGGGACGCCTTCTTGACCGCTCGGCGAACCCTAATCTCCTTGATCTGGTTCGTCTATTGCAATGACCATGGTGTTGACAGTCGACCTTTTTGTAGAACGGCAACACGGCATTGATGCTGGCGATAACAAGCGGCCAATCCAACGTGTTTAATCGGCTTTGCCACCGCTCGAACTCTAGTCTCTTGAATCGGGTACACTCATGGTGATGTGCGTCTCGCTCACTTGAATCATGACGGTAGGATGGCCTGACGACGCTAATGATGGCGCTGACGTGTGGACACTCTAACCTGGCGTTGCAACTTGTTGAAAGATGCAACCTGGACGTTGTCGATCGAGTCCGCTGCGCCGCAACGGCGTATATATTGCTGACAAGAATCGTGTTTGTAGGATGGCAAGACAGCGTTGATGATCGCGTCCGCCAAAGGCTACGAAAATGTGGTTCAACGACTCATTGGCCGCTCTGCTGCGCTCGACGTCGTCGATCCCGTACATGACACTGCAAATCGTGCTGCGCTTATGCCAATCTTGTAGGAGGGAAAATCAGCATTGATCCTGGCGATTCAAAACGGGCACGACGCAGTGGCTCGAATTTTGCTTACCCGACATGCCAGCATCAATCTCACCGACAAAGTATGTTGTGTCGTGCTATCACTTTGCTTGACATTGCTTTTTTGCAGGACGGCAAAACGGCGTTGATGAAGGCTTCGTTGGCGGGAGACATGGATATGGTGACATCCATCCTCAAATTCGCCCATGATGTGAACACTGGGCTTGGAGACAAGGTATACGGTATGCAGAGGCTGCCTTACTCAAGCACGCGTGATTTCAGGACGGAAAGACAGCGCTGATGCTGGCAGCCACCAACGACCATGAGGCCGCGGTTCAGCACTTGCTACGCGTACGTGCCGACATGAACGCGACCGACAACGTAGGCTGTCGCACATCGCAGCTGGGATATCACTATCCTCTTTTTAGGACTACTCGACAGCGTTGATGATGGCGTCTGCGCGAGGCCAAAATGCCATCGTGAAGCGTCTACTGATCGCCCACGCCGATGCCAACATCACTGAAAAGGTTTGCTGTTTGTGTCGACAGTATTGAGCATTCGGTTGTGCTGCGTAGGATGGCAAGACCGCGCTGCTCATGGCCTCGACAAACGGGCACGAAATCGCTGTCAAGTTGCTCATCAACGCCCAGGCAGACGTGAATCTCAGTGATCTCGTATTCCTCTTTCTTTTCGTGTATGGGATGGCTCTAGGGAGTGCATTCTGTAGCACGGCAGGACGCCGTTGATGATGGCGGCCATGAACGGCCACGAGATTGTCGTCCAGTGGCTCCTCAACGCCGATGCAAAAACCAACATTATCGATCGCGTACGCGGTTGTTTCCAGATGGTGGGTGGCTGATCGCAAGAGGTGTAGGACGGCAAGACACCACTCATGATGGCGGCCATGAACGGCCACGAGATTGCGGTCAAGTGGCTGATCGATGCCGATGCGCAAGTGAACCGAAGCGACAGAGTACGAACCCTCTTTCAGTCAAGCTAGTTAAAACTACATTTCTGTAGAACGACAAGACGGCGCTGATGCTAGCCAGCGCCAGCGGTCACGATCGCGTCGTTCAACGCTTGCTTGCCGCCGGCGCCAACGTTCATCTCTGTGACAGCGTACGCAGCATATCTCTAGTACAATTGAATCGTAATATCGTCGGGCGCCTGACTGTAGGATGGCCACACCGCACTGCTTCTTGCGTCGCGCCAAGGACACAGTGCCATTGTGCAACGACTTCGGAACGCGGGAGCCGCCATGGACCCCAACCCTATGGCAACGACCGCCACGACACCCGAGGTAAATTGGCCGAACGCCATCACCAACAATGACAAGCAACAACTTGTCTTCTAGCGTGTTCCTCCGTCGGACGACACCGCTGCCATGCCAAGTGCTCGTGCGAACGATGTTTGCGCCAACAGACACGAGGTCGGTACCAATCCACATTTCCCAATTGACAATGGACGTATTGCAGGAGCGTCCATTGGGACAAAACTACTTCACCTTTGGCGGGTCGAGAGCTGCGATGCCTCCTGCCAGCACGGCGGAGGAAGAGCCTGCGGTCGCAGATCTCCAAGCTCGTTTTACCTTCTTCGCTGCATCCGAGTAAGACTCTAAAAACACGATAAAATGCGCATGGAGACGCACTCGTAGCACGCACGCCAGCGAAGTCGCTCCCAACCGCAGACGAATCGTGCGTGCCAAGTCGAGACGATAATCCAGCTGATGATTCCAATCCCAACAAATGGTCGTGACGACAGCGTGCCTGGAGCCATTATTTACATGAACGAATCAATGTATGACCTTTCTATCAACGATTCCTTGTGCTTTCGTATGGTAGATCG